ATGACGAACGCAGAGATTCCTTCATTTTCTTCTCACGTCGTCATTCTACAAAAAAAAAAAAAAAAAAAAAAAATCTATTACCTCAGCTCGGACTCCAGAGTAATCCGATCTGCCAAGTCTTGAGAAAAAGAAAATAAAGTGTTGAAGGCAATTAATTCTAATAGGAATGATAAAAAGATACTGACTATGCAAGTCTCCTCCTGGTTATAATTCTAAAATGTCTCCTTGAATCGGAGTGTTCCAGAAGGCTAAGGAACACATCCTGAAGGAGCTCGAGGTTTTGGCGCCGCGAGGATTAGGACCTAGCTACTCCTGGCACAGAGAGGAGGGGGGGGGGGACTTTTAGATTCTTCAGGACGAGGAGAAGCATCATTCGGCGTGGGATCACCTTATTAATTATTATAAGATTAAAGTTGGCAACTATCGTGCTGGTTATACCGTCAGAAGGTTCCATGCATTTCCCGTGCATGCCAAATTTTTTCGTTATGGCAGACTTTCTATTTACTGCCAAATGTTGGTACATTTGACAATGGAAAAAGTGTCAGTTGTGGCCTTCAGTGTCTTCCTTCGCAATCCATATCATCAAAATCGTCCTTTCTAAAAACTAAGAGATATAAGCCTTACACTTTCATTCATTATACTACTTCAGTCTATCGAGGAGATCAGCCTTTTGACCCGTCTGATCCCCGATCGTGTCAGAACGTGTCCAAACAGGTGTATTGCTTGCCACGGGACCCACGTATGATGTCATCCCTCACACGTCAGGCCTCCTATCTCCTACGCACAGCAGACACGTCGGAAGCTGAACCCCCCTGATAGGAGGACCAGGGTTGGCCCTCCCAAAAGGTCGTCAAACAGAGAGGCCATATGACTGGGAAGGGGAGATGGCCGTCCTTAAGACCAGTCCACTGGGAGGAGGTCAAGCTTCTGCATCAGTTGCGGGATGACCTGTGGCTCTTTTGCACTGTCTTTAAGGATGTTATCACCCTGTCTTCCTTCTCGGTGTATAACATCAAAATTATCATCATTGTATTTAAGATAGTAGCACAAAGCTCGTATCATAACACATTTTCATTTCACAAAATTATTATTATTATCGCAGGTTATTTAGAGAAGTAACACAAAGCTATTATTGTCCCTAGCACATCCTTATTTCATTTCACTATTTCTGTTATGGTTTCCTTGGTCTGTCATGTGTAATAATCATCACAGTTACAATTTTTGTAAGGTAACAGGGTCGTCTATCTTACACCTACTACAATCACAGCATATTTAGATATACTGCTACAATTACTGTGTTTAAGTCTATTCGTCGGCTTGTGAAAATTGTACGACGTCTGACCTAATGAATATCCAGTTTACGAACATGCATATAACATTAATAAATATTTATCAGTCTAGACATGGCCATCTACCGCATAGACAGATGGAGAAATATATATCTGTCAAATAGACATCTGCATTTATTCATGTGTATATACATTAACTTATGAATGAATATTAATTGTCGGGCCACTCCCAATTTTAACAAAGCGACAGGATAACATCAACATTATTATCATTCTTTCAAGCGTAGCTGATTTTGCTAAAACTTAACTCGGTTGACACACACACACACACACACACACACACACACACACACACACACACACATACACACACATATATATATACACTGCTGTCTTCATGGCATCTTTCAGTCTGCAATATAGGTATCATTGTAAGTGCAAAACTCATACTGAGGTAACACCGAATTCATGAGGATCATATTCAAAGAGATAGTTGGTTCCATATCCAAGTGGATTTCAGGAACATGCCGTGGGAATTTACGCGTTCCCTTCCGCACCGACTTTTACCCCAGCATACTGTTGTCAGCATGTTAGTACTTACTCGTAGCTGAGATGACTGAGAGGGGCAGCCGGACGCGAAACCAGGACCTTGCGATTACAAAATAAAAGCTCTGCCACTGTGCCATGCCACCTCTTATAATACCACTGTCATATTATTTTTTTTTCTATTGCTATTATCATGCCATCTTTTGTATTATTATAAATAACTTGTTAGGTAAGACGAAACTCATGTGGCTTAATCCTACTACATTTATACTTAATCAATTTACCGCTTCCTTCACGATGTCTTCCTTCTAATTCAATATCATTGCTTTGTTTTTAGCCCTGATACGTGTAGTAACACGGTATATGCAGTAGACTTTCCACTTTATATTTCTTTTAGTTGCTTTTATGATGTTGTGACAGGAAATGTGTCCACGCGAGGATCTGAGACAGCCGAAAAGCAGCTGCATTTCCTCGAAAACACAATGAGCAGATTGTAGACTGTACTCAGTGAAATTTACCCGGAGACCGATTGCATTGTCAAGACACTGCAATATGATGTTACTTATGATAATACTAATTGTGTTTCCTGTATTACTCTTAATATTGTTACTTGTCGTATAGTATTTTGGTCTTTGTCATGTTCTTATGTTGGTAATTGATAATAC